TCTGAGCTGCAGTCAGTGGGAGAATAGGCAGAGACGACGAAGAGGCAACGACGAGTGTCCCTATCTTTCCGGATCCTTACTGTTCCGTTCAGTCGGACAGCGCACAAACGACTGTCTACTGGGATCCACTCTAAGAGAGCTAGTTCTGCCCTAGGACTCAATGCTATACCTACGCCGGCGAGGCCACGGGAAGCAGAATCAGGGCTTCCAGATACACGAAGCGTAAATCGAGTCGGTTCTTTATTTTGGCATGGTGAGGTCAAATGAATGACGCTACTCGGATCCTGTATGCGCGTTTCGGAGACGCAGCACACATCGATGGCGCGAGATTCTAAAGTCCTAGCTAAGGAAGCCTGTTGTCCTATTTGGCACAGTGTTCGTACGTTAAAAGCTCCTACGTGTAGTTTAGAGCGTGGTTTCAGGAGACCAGGAATGGCGTTCCACGTACTCGAATCGTTTGCCCTAGCGGTGCGAGGTGATAAAGAGACGTGAGGAGGGTTAGTCATGGAGATAAGAGAGGTATTAGGAGGTGTAGGAAGGATTTGAATGTGACCAACTTGGTCTCGTGTGCTGTTACGGGTATGAGGGCTGATGTCACTTCCCGGCTGCCCACACCGTGGAAGGGTATTTCTTGAGGAACCTGAAAAGGAAATTGGATTAGTGTTGGTCTTGACGACCTGGGAGCGTGACCGCAGAGCCCAAGGGACAACTGCTTGAGGCCGGTCGCGCACGGCCTTTTTGTGGAAGGTTTTTGACGTGTTAGCTCCGTTCTTCAAAGGGCCTTACCGCCGGAGACGGAAATCCGTGAGGTAAGGTGTGACATTTTTAGGGTCGACCTTTTCTAACCCCTTCCTTCCTTGTGAGAAATCAGCATCGCTGTAATGCTGGTTCTCCGAGAGAAATACCTTACTGCTGTCACACCCCTCTACAGTCAGCAGTACGACTTCGCCCTCAAACCTTATCAATTAAAATAATGTTAACAACTTGGCTTTTTTGTTATCAATAATTTGATATAATGGTTACTATAATACGAAATTTAGTATTAGTCAAGTGAACTTAATGAGTTATTGATAATTACATAAGCCCAAAAAACTTGGTTGTCACATTACTTACTTACGCCTGTTACCCCTCATGGATGAGCACAGACCGCCCACCAGCAGTCTTCAACCAACTTTGTCCTGGACAATCCTTTCCAGATGCTATTCATTCTTTTGATTTCTGCTTCGAATCTGTTGTAACGCGTGTGACTGCAGGTTTTGATAAGCAGCGTATTTATCGATCGCCTCTGTGACAGTGGACACGGGAAACACGTATGGACGACCTAAAGCCCTGATTGGTCCCGCTTCGCAGTCTGTCCCAGCCAGTTGAGTCAAGAACGCAAGTCACAGCCTCTGAGTTATGAATCATTGTATTTCAAACATACTCTATTTATATACCAAGCAAACAACCCACATCGTACCATAAAATAGGAAACAACATTTGTACAATATTTAACAAGTGAAATAGACATCGACCAATAAGAAATGTACATTTAAGGTTCAAGGACACCATTGAACTTAACATGGTAATTATTGGTCTCTTTTTCCGACTATCCCAACAGAATCCCCGACACAATATGTTCCTTGGCATTTCTCTTTTCCGTTTCCCTTCAGGATCCCAAGTTAGCGCTTGTTTCGTGATGCAGTTTGATGATTTCCACAGTGTATATCCTATCCACTTCCAACGTCTCTTCTAGTTTCCTCTTGAACTGGAAGCTGATTTCTTTCCCACAGCAGGCTGTTAGTGATGGTATCTGGCAATCGGATATTGAGTATCTTGCTTAGACATCTGTTTATAAATAGTTGTTCATTTTTTGATGGTTGTGGTAGTTTTCCAAGTTTCAGTTCCATATAGTAAAACTGTTTAGACGTTCGTACTGAAGATTCTGATTTTGATATTTTGACAGTTGTTTTTGGTTTCATATGTTCTTCAACTGTAGGAATGCTGCCCTTATTTTGCCAATCCTTGCCTCTCCTATGTTCATCGATTATGATGACCAGGTACGAGAAAGTTCCTACTTCTTCCAGAGTTTCTCCATCAAGTGTGATTGGATTGATGTTCCCCTTGTACTTCGGGACCTTGCATTGTCACATTACAATATTAAAAATTAATCATGTCAGTGTGGTAATTTCGTCATCTATGTACTCACAAATAAATTTCAATTGGACTATGAACAAGTTTTTTTAATCTTACTAAATATTTTCAATTGGAAAATGTATTCAATACTTAGCTAACTAAATATCTTTTAAAGCCAATTACAACCATTTCTTCGGTAAATAACTATACCTTTCTCTGGAAGCGTAGGAGAATATTGAGTTTTACTCCTTTTGTTTCAGTGATGGGATGACTACTTATCTATCGTCATGTCCATATTATCAGTATAGGTATGCACCTCTTGTGTAATGTTTCGAAATTCGTTTTCTAAGCATTACAGGTTTATGCACTTGGCTTTGAGTCATATAATGGATGTGTTAGTAATACTATTAAGAAATCACTCACTGGTTTGTACTAAATACACTATACACGATATGTTGTGAAGTGGTTGCATGAGGGGCAAAGCACTCGGCTGTTTGCTAGTAAATCGGTAATCTTCAGCCCCTTCCATCCACGTCCGATTGTCTGTCTTGTAAAGACATTGAAACATGACACAACTAACGGGGCGCTATACCCATTTTCGCTCTTTGTGCCTTTGGGTTTCCTTTCAGCCTGGACGCTGTAGGCCACATGATTGATTATGGCTTCTTAAAGCAGGTAATGTCTTTTTGCATCTTTTGTACGAGTATTTATGCAGATTATTATATAATTTTACATGTTTCTGGAGTTACTGTTGGCTCAACGTCCCATTCGTGTTCAATGTGACGTTTTTGATTAGGCTGTTTAAGTCATCTATTTTGTGTTTTAACGAAATATTCAGTAGGGAATTTATATTCCCGTGAATTTTTCTTTTAGATCTAAAATGTGATCATTTCTGTGGTGTCGCTTTTTTACAGTTGCAAACATTCTACTTCAACTGATATCGGGGAATTTATATGGGAGATTTCCTATTCCTTTTATTTTTTGTTTATTTTACTAGCAATGGGTGTATGCACGTGGTCATGTGAGAGCATTTCGAGAGAGAGAACTGACTCCCCACCCTCGGCCGTACCAGGTTATTTGAGGGCAACTATGCTGGACTCCACCAGCTTGAATTTCTTGCCCAGAATTAGTCGAGGGCATGTTTTTGTAGCAATTTCAGCCTTATGATTTCATTATCGGGTACGTATAGGGTCACAGGTGATTTCGAGATCAGGGAAAATTTGAGGAAAGACATTGAAGTTAATAGTAAAATCTGACAATCGTGCAATCAAGTTTAAGAAAAGTAAGGTGTTATTTTCTTAGATATTTCCCTAGAAATCGATCAGTCAACGTTTATTCGCTGATTTCGTGTGACCACTGAAAAATTATTTGGAATCTCTGGAAATTCCACGTATCCTCTCCCCTTTTGTCTATTATTGACCATTATATAACCAAACTCCATCGCTATTGTATTATTTATAATCAATCCGTATGAATAATAAGTGTGTAACCAACCAGTACGGAAAAACAAACAAATAAGTAAACAAACGTTTCAGTATATTTACTTTCTCAAAGATGAAAGCACTGAAAAATTAATTTAATAATTTTGTGAAGTCTGATAGGAAAATTGGGTCATGGGCTTATGATAATAATAGTAAATACGAATAATAACAGTTTATATACTTCAAAATACAAAAAAGGTAACTTCTCAGATTTATTTACGATGTATGTGTCTGCTTTGCGATGAGTAGACAAATAACGAGCCAAGAAAGTAAAGGAATACTTGAATTCACTTTTGGAGAGAAAAGAAAATCAGGAAGACAGTGTCTATTCAAGGCACAAACATTTATGTTTCAAACGATTTTGTGTGTATGGGTTTTTGGCTAAACTTCAGTTTTTACGAATAGCAATTAGTTAATTCGAATAGAGAGATCAAAATTATTCAGACAATAACGATGACGATATTGTAAGTATTGTGAACACAGTTGAAGAAAGTAATGTAAAGAGAAGTTGAATGTTTAGTATCCGTATACTACAACATATTGGTATTTGTGTGTTTATTTGTATATTGTACACGCGGAACTGAATACGATTGTCATTTTTATCCACAATTGTCCATCTTAGGTAGTAACACTATTCACGATGTTAATGATATCATGAAATCTGCAGATAGATGATTATGGTGAATACATATGTTTTAAATACAAAACAACAATGAACATGATAAACTCTGTTATTTTTCAGTCGCTGTTGTTGTTATAGAATCAGTGTCACATGTAAACGTGATACAACACTCTCGTCACCCCTAGTTTGAATTTCTTAATTGTTAATACATACAATCACCAAGATTAAAAGTATACACATATTCAAAATCTTAGGGAACAGAAGACGATAGAGAATCGAAGACGACAATCTGATCACTAATATCGAATGTAAAAAGTTTTAAATTAAGAGAACTGAAAGAATTTGTTGGCAATCTTAAATCAACGTTGAAAAGATTAAATTCTCCTTAAAAATGAAAGTGTTATCACAGACACATGGAAAAAACTACAATAAGATGTATAGGACTGTAGAGACTAAAATATGTTAAAGAAATTGAGCATGCTATGAAGCCAACCGAAAATGCTAGTCAATAAAAACAAAAAAACAATTAAGAGCTGAATGTGGAGAACACATTAAACGATGGAAAAAGTGAATGTATATGCTTTTTTTGTACAAAATGAGAAAAACTTAAATGGAACATCCCCCCTCAATTGTACACAAATATTTACTGGTCACTCGGTTATTAAAAATTATTTGCTGACTGATAAGATCGGGTAGAAATTCAATTGATGTGGTGATATATCCCAACTTCCCATAGAACTGCTGGTTTGTTTTTGTTTTTTATCAATTCCAATTCCCCAACTTTAACTCATAAGTGTAGACGGCCTGAGGAATAGGAAAAGTTAAACATTTAATATTTTTGAAATAAAAAAAACTAGTTTAAGGACAAAATTTATGTGAACTAACATGACAACTATCAGGAGAAAAATAGTTTAGAATCTGTACCTCATCACTGAATGGATTATAAATACCTTTTCCTTATGAAACTCAAGAAATACAGATCACAGAATAGAGTGAACTGTCCTGAAAAACAACATAAAATCAAAATCACGATTCTCTGCTTTAATTTATTACGTTAGTAAAGCAAAATATTCTTCGAAAAAGTCCAGAGGGGTCGTAAAGACGCTGGGAAGCATTTTATCCAATCAGCGTTGAATAAAAGTGTCTCGGAAAAATCCAGAATGCAGAGAAACGTGTCGTATTTCTGATTGTATGACTACCTACCCTGCTACTATGCTTAGCATGTCTTCAGAAGCCCAAGGCTATCTGAAACACTATAAACACGCTTAATTTTCTGTATATTAACTAACCTTGGAGTAAAGCGTTCCCTTCACGCTTTGTGCTTTTTCTCCCATGTTCAGGTTGCCATCTAGATTTAGCCTGGGGTTATTACAAAAACTAAGGAAACCAATTTTAGCGTTCAGTTAGACTTATCAGAATGTTGAAACAGTTACATGGATTAAAAAAAGAAATGTCTAAGGATCGATGAACTCAAAAATATTTCAAATCTCACATAAAGATGTAATCAAGTTGATGAATCTCAAAACAACCGTCGTGAATAATTGTTTTTCTACCTAAGTAACTATTTTATTAAGCAAAAAATAATAACAGGCAAACAAATTCTGATTAACCCAAATATTCAACGTAAGACTCACTCACTCACTCCCCAGCTCCAACAGTTGATTCCAATTTGATCAATTCACTATTACCGATAGACTCAAGTTTATTAGCCAATCCACATGATCCAACATTATCTTTTCGATTGATTTTATCATTTTTATTTACTAATGAAATAACAGTTGAAGTGGGAGAAGTTGCATTGTTACTATCGTTGTTTATCTGTTGTTGATTACTCCCAGTTCCTTCATCACCTACAGCTCCACCTTGTTCCTCTTCTTCATCCTCCTCCTCGTCATCGTCTTCATCATCATCAACTCCATCATCTGGATTACCACCACCTTCAACATTGACTAACATTTCATAGGTTTCAGCTGCATAACGATCCCAGTCAGATAGTTCATTGAGTCCTTCTTCAATATCCTGTTATGATTTTAAAAAAAGATCCATCTTTTAGTTAAAATCAATAAATATTAACATTTATGCATCATTCTTAAAGAAAAAATAATTAATAATTGTTTCTTTCATCACAACAAAATGTTGTAATAATTCTATCATATATATAACTGTTATGGATTATAGCATAGTGGAAAAGTCAGACTAACTTGTTTCTCATTTATTTTCGTGAACATCTGAAAATAAAAATATATTCTGGCTTATATTTTATGAAAGTATAATCATCACTAATGATATACTACAACTACTACTACTATGATGTCCTAGTTAACTGATTGAAACCACTAACTGAAAAAAACTATTGAAGTGACATAAATATTAGAAAGTTTGTCTTTGTTATTGTTCATCTTCTAGAAATGGATTATATATTAGAGTTTTATTTTGAATTCAGATTATAAAACCATGATTCTTGATTCCACAAAATCAATTCATTTACAATGTACAGAGATTTGTTTGATTGGCTTTGAGTTATACTCTAATATGAGTATTAGTGATACTATACGTTTGTTAAAACTAAACTGAAGAGGAGAGGAGTTCGAATCTATGATTAAGTAATATAACGCTAGACATCTTGAATAACACAGATATCATTTGAAGGAATGATTTAACCTACTTCAAATCAGTCTAATAGTGAAAACCATATAAAAATCTTGTAAATTAAAATTAGATGATTACAAAATTCTTAGTCTTAGACTAAAATGACGCAACGCAGTGATAAACCTAACAATCAATGGTGACATTGAACGTGGCACGACGAGAGTGGGTCAATCACACTTGTCACACTTTACATCATCAATAGCATATAGAGAAAAAAAAAATGCTAGGATAAAAACTAAACAATTACGAAACCACAAAATCAGTGGTAGTGAACAAAACCAAACACATGGGATATCGTTTGAAAATAATTGACACATCCATACCTTTATAAAAAATAATAAACGGTTTCGAACTATGCTGCGTAAGGTGTCGAACTACTGATAATAACTACACAATAGATCAATACTAAAATTGACTTATACCTTTCTTTCTACTAACTAATTATCTCTTCCTGTATTATATCCTTATATGCAATCTTTTTTTTATGTATTACTACCATTGAAGTAACTGCTTCTATGAATTTGGTGTTCATCTTGTTGTGCTAATGAGGTATGGCAACTTGGACTGATGCATATATGTGCCTGATCCTATGTTGTAGCTGGCTGACTGACTAACTAAACATTTGTGTCATCTGAATTAAACTTATTGTTTTACAATAATGGAATTTCAGGAACAATCATTTGGAAAACTAATTGCATAAGATTTTAGTATAACTTACACGTAAATTAGCAAATGGATCACGTTGTTCATGTTGTAAATATTTTGGTAAATTAAAGAATGTATCAAAAAATATATGACATAGACGACATTGTTTCATATCTGATAGTCGAATTTTATCTGTAAGTGCTGGTTTCACCATATCCAAACATTGACATAAACAATCTTCAAATGATATAGGTTCAATCCCCATTTCTTCCATTCGTGCTAATTGTTCCGAGTAGAAATATTCTAATTCATACATTGACAACAGGCCATCACCGTCTAGATCCATACACCGAAACCAATATTCAATACTAAAAAAAAGATATGCGGAACGTTAGCAGAACAAGTTATTTTTTGTTAGCCAATTACGAGGAAATTCTAATAGTTACCTTCTTTTTGAAATATGTTCAGACGACATTGTCTAGAAAGACAAATAAACCTTCATAACTACACCAATCAGCTCAAAGAACAAAGCACTTCTAAAAAAGTACAAAGATAAATGTTCTGAGGCATCCCGCTATCCTAGCACTAAAAATTTTTTAGAAGGTGAAACAAATCCAAACCAGAGATCTTGAAAACTCCTTCATATATATATATAAATATATATATAAGTTTCCAAGCCCGAAATCCTACTGATACATTTTTTCCTCTTTATGGGATAATTATGAAAATAAATTTCTTTCAGATTCACTGCCTTCATTTGGACTTGAAAAGTGGAAGGCTGTAGAAGTTATTTATTTATAATTACAATAATAATAATAATAATAATAATTTATCTATAATATTAACAAAGCAATCAATTTGTTTTATAAAGCATTAACTGGAGAAATACTTGATGTATAATTAGGCATAATATAAGTGATTACCTCCGAGGATGATGTTTATCTTCTTCAGCCAATAGAAACCAAACAAAATCTGGATAAGTCATAACACCTTCTTTAAAAGCTGTTCCTCTGAAAAAAAGAATACGATCGTATAGAGAAAAATCTTGTTGAAAATACAATTAAATTTTAGTATTATAAATCATATGTAGAAAAATAATACATATATTGCATTAATAAATGAAAAGCACATACATACTTTGATAATGGTAAAATATCAGTTGAATAAATGGAACAGTAGCTTGTTGTTTACTGCATTGAAACTCTTAATAACTAAACCATGTAATTTGAATCGAATTTCGGTCAATGTCTTATCGGCTATCAGAGAGTTCTTCTACCCTTTATATATCTTAAATGACTGAAATATTGGTGTGGGAGGATTAATGGGAAAATGAATCTAAAGGCATATATATTTAAGACATAATACAGAACTTACAAATCATGGGATTAAATAAGTGAGTTTACCTTGAGATTCCATGGGCTATTATTGAAACATTTTATTCTGAGATAATGTATAATATTTGAAGCTTAATTGGATGATTTTCGTGTTATTGAGTTTTATTATTGTTTAAACACATAAATATTGGTACAAGAAGGCAGCAAGTAGATATGCGCCGCATAAATCATTCAATTTGTGTGAGGGCTGAGATACTGGCCGAGTGGTTTTCTTAAGGGGTTACACCCGGGCCATTCGACCTGAAGATCTGATCCACAAGCCATTGGAGCAACGTCAGATGTATTCTCATGGTAGCCGGTGACCAACGATTGGTTAATACGCCAATTGTCCCCTCAGGATTCTTGAGCCCATGTGCACCATTGGCTTGGAATCAGGTTTTTCCAACTCCAATAGGTAGATCCGTATCCACCAATCCGGTTATAGCGCCAAACATTCGCTTTTTGTCCTCTCGATTTCGTAAACAACAGCCCCAGTGCGAGAAGGTAGCGAGTAGGACTTCTATGGTAGTGGTTGTATGCACGTGGTCATGTGAGAACATTTCGAGAGGGAGAGCTGACTCCGCCAACTGTTGTCCGTATCAGGGCATTTGGGAGCCTTAATCTAGATGGTTTAACTGTGGAGCATTCATTGTCGTTTCGGACGACATCCACAACATCTACTTCATATAGAGTTAGTGTTATGAATTTAAGTTGTGGGTCGATTTTTACCCTGTGCTAATTGTTGTGTCCTTGACTGGAAAATTAGAGAGCAGCGTACTTATCGATCGATTCAATGACACGTAAACACGTACGGACGGCCTAGAGTCTCTATTGGTCTCGCTTCCCTGTCTAGCCCAGTTAGTTGAGTCCAGAACACAAGTCACAACCTCTGAGATATGAATCATTATATTTCAAACATACTTTGTTTATATACCAATCAAGCACACCACATCGTACCATAAAATAGAAAACAACATTTTGTACAATATACAACAAGTGAACAGATATCGACAAATAGAAAATACCCATTTAAAGTCCAAGGACACTATTGGACTTAACATGATAATTATTGGTCTATTCCTGCGCATCCACAACAGTTAGGTTTCTTAATTATTTCAAAAGTATCAAACTAATTCCTTTTATTGATCTTGTTTGCGATTGATTATTTTCACAGGTATTGTGATTTTCATTTGTCTTCTTGTAGATTTTGTTTTATTGTAAATTGCATTGATTTTCAGCAAGGACAACTATTACGCATATCCGTAGCAATTCAAACAACAAATTAAATACTTTTATCACTTTTGTATATTATATGCATTTTTTACTGTGCACAACATGGTACAAGTGATGAACTGAAAGAAGTATTGATGCAGAAAATAATCCACAGATATTACAATAATGTCTGTTAAACTATCCTTATCGGTTTAATTCGATTAATTGTCATTAGAAGACACTAATACATATGGAATGCTTAAAAAATTAGATTAAAGTATTTGTGACTAACTGTTAAGTCAAGAAATAGTATGTTGGAACCATCAGTGAGAAAAGATGAAATTACAACAAGTCAAATGACATCAAAAAAGGGAAGGGCCAATAATCACTAGTTTTCCAATCAAAATAACAAAAAACAGACTATATATATATATATATATATATATATAGAGAGAGAGAGAGAGAGAGAGCGAAACACGTACAAATACTTTCATACAAGAAGGTAGACGTATTAAAGGAAAATAATTGTACAATTTTCAATAGTTACAAAAATACATTACATATTTATGACTATCAATAAATGAATTTTACCATAATGATGATTATAATAAACGAAAAAGAATAAATTGATTCATTAGTTCGACTTTACATCAGTCTATGGTCATATCAGTAAATGAATTTACTAAACGAATAATCCCGTGTGTATGATAAAATGGATATCTATGACTAACTGAAGCTGTGTTAGTAAAGTTAAGAAAAAAAATCAATATATTTGAACATTATTGGGTCAATTTTATGACTAAGATCATTTCAGTATTTTATTAGAAAATAAATTGAAACATAACAGGATTAAGTTTAATGACATTAACGACTTTCAGTTCGAATCATTTAGTGAGATGTACAGTTCTTGAGAAAAATACTCAATAGGTAACAGAAATCACTGGTTGGGATTCTTGTATCGATTTTGAAATCTCTCAATATTTACTACTTTCGTGTTGCTTTTTGAAATGTAACAGTTTGAACACATCCAATACTTGAAGTTCATTAGTTTGATTACACATGGAATATTATCAGAATGCATGTTTGTGGAGATTGTAGCAATTTAATAGTTGAATTCATGAGTCGATTCAAGCTACATCACCATTGATAACCTGGAAGCACTAGACGGTCGTTTCGTCCTAATATGGGACTCGTCAGAAGTGTGCATCCATGATCCCACAAGAGAGACTTGAACCCAGGTCCTTCTGTCTCGCGCGAGAACGCTTCACTTCTACAAAACTGATCCGATATTCACCAGTGTTATTGTCTAACTTCAACCAATCCAGGATATTGCGCCACTGTTCACCTTTGTCTTCAGTGAGTAACTGCCACACAACGGACACGGTTAAACTCCGATGGTCACGGCTTCTCACCATAACTCCAGGAAAAACACCTTGAAGCCAGTCACTAGTGAGCATATGACGATTGTGGATGTGCACTAGTGAGGAGTCCCATGTAAGACGAAACGGTCGTCCAGTGCCTCAAGGTTTTCCATGGTGGTCTAGCTTTAATCGAGTCATGGATACAACCATACATAAAATAGTCACGGACACACCGAGTCAAGTAATAGAATTTGAATAAAAATAGCCGTTTAATCCGTTCCTTAGTTTTCGATAATTTCCCAGTTCATGATGAAAAACTCGTCAAATCGAAAAAAATGTGAACACCAGCTATCTAAATGATAAACATTTGGTCACAAATGGTTTTTTAATAAAATAATCCATAAAAGTCTAGTGAAACACCGTGATCGGCATACTCCAATCATCATAGCACTAAGTGATTGACATGATACCACTGCAAATTAACTCCATTAAAAAACGAGAATTCTAAAAACCCATCTTCCTTTAGAAAAAATTTACATTGGTATCTCGATAACTATCTATCTTTACTTACTTCCACCAATACGTACACACAGACAAACAGATATAACTAAAGTACAAAAAAGACGGATATTCTCTGAATCAGTTTCGTCTACTAAATTGAAATAATCCTAGAAGTGAAAATGAAAACTTGCAATTCATATCTGAAGTTTACTTCGATTCATATCAATTATTGATACAAAGTCATGTAATCCCAATTGGATATGCAATGGGAAAACAATAGCAAAAAAGAGAATATATATATATCTTATTGCTAAATTTAGAGAATGAAAATTCTTTCATGTAATAATTATACTGAATAATGACTAGAAAGTGAAATTTTTCAACAGAGGAAGAAAGAAATAAACTATGAGATAGAAAAACATATGTGTATAGGGGTAGGGAATACAGATATTAGGCTATTGTATTGTATTTTAGTATGTACCCCCCCCCACTCGGTTTTGATCACATTACTCCTGCTCATCAGAATATGACAAGAATAGGTAGAGGAATTGACAAATCCAAGCTACTACTGCTTACATATAATAATAATAATAATAATAATAATAATAATAATAATAATAATAATCAACGTATTCGTAATAATTTATTTTCCCTTCCAAAATATCTCACCTTGTTACAGCTCCACTAAATATTCGGTCTATCATACGTTCTGAGATAGCTGTAAAAATATGTATATGTAAATGCATTGAAAGGTAACAAGTAAATGACTAAACATGGAAATAAACAAAGTGGAAACTTATCCAAATAAAGTAATCGTTTATGTAAAAAAGAAAGAACAAACCAGATATGCAACCATTTCTATGCATTTAGATCTTATTTCAACAACTTGATCAGTATTCGGACGTCTAGAGCCAAATGGAATTCAAAAGATTCATGGAAAAATAGGTAACACATATAATATTGATTAGGATTGATGTTACTTGACTTCCAGCTGGGAATCATATTCTTTCGGAGGTATACAAGCTAGCAGAACCGTGGTTTATTGGGTTTTGGTGTTCAATTTTCAGCCGCTTAGTCCTAAGTTCGAACGGCAACGCAGCTACTTCGGTTTAGTCAACATGATAGTGTCATACATGAAGTGTGGTGGCTCATAATCAATTACCGGGTGAATTAATTAATCTATCATGACTTAGTCACCATAAGTAAATCGAGTGTATTGAAAATCAGACCATTATAATTTAAGTTATTGATATTTTTATAAAGAAAAACGATAAACACATACCAAATTATTATCACCGAAAAACATCTAAACAAATTATGAAAAATTAAACACGAGTTGAAATTAAAAGTACAACACTAGTAGAGAGAGATATCCATGAACATTACTACGCTTTAATAGAAGATTATTATTAGTGGAACAGCAAACAATAAAAGTACACAGGTTAATTGATAAATCATACAGTTTAAGCGTGAAGGCCATTCATAGTATTTAATGAATGAGTGACATCATATGACTCACAGTTCCCGACGTTCTTCTATTGCCTTGTAGATTATATCATAAGGTAAAAATCTTCAACAGAGATTTCATTAGAAAACCACTTGGTTTGATTTGGAAGACCCGGCAATATCTTAACTCACACACAAAAATGTTAAAGAATAAAAATGAATCATACTTTATTTGCTCCACCAAGCTACCTATTCAAACGATACTCAGCAGCTAAATTAAGGTTAAAACCAAAAAACTAATTAAGAAAAAATATAATACGTAACAAACAATGTGGTGTAAACTTACCATAATTATTGTGTCGTGCTAAATCACTTCGACTGATGATCAAATCATGATCTTCATCTAGCTCCCAGAATTTACAATAAATAACATAGAAATGTTCATAAGAAAAATATTGTGTCACCAAATTAATATCATCTTCATTTTCAAGACTGGCTAACACAGGAAGAAAATTACTTCGTCTTAATTCACCTAAAGAAATACGACCAGACCATGAAATATTCACATTGAAGAAGATACGTGCTACAACGGTTGCCACATAACGGGAATGAAAATCTTTTGCTGCTTCTAAAAACGCTAAGCCAGGATGACTCTCTAAAATGTCCTGAATGAAAAAAGGAAAATTAAATAATCAACAAAGCTATGGAAAATAAGGTTATGTGCACCGAGGATAAGTTCAAATTTCATCATTTACTTTATTTCCATGTTCCTTAACTCAAACCAGCAAGTTATAATCTAACTCAGATTTAAATATACGTTCTTATGAATTTGAGGAAGTAATGCATTGTCTTACACTATAATAACACTGAAAATTTGATAAATATCCTAACATTGAAGTATCACACCGTTAAGTATACGTTAAAAGTAAATGCCGTTATATCACTGAGAGAAATTCATCATAATAACCGTTAAATATACTTCCCGCTAGATCTTCTGCAACACTTTATCCAAGAAAATGGACTAAACTTCATTATTGAAACAATCTAATGAATTTTTCTCGGATGTAATTTTAATAAAAATCATAAAAATTGAACATACACTGGATATCCATAGATTAACACAATAACGTATGGATTATACATACCCAATAATCCAGATTGTTCCGATTCAGATGTGCAAGACAACTCAATGGTGCAAAAAACAATACACATCACAATAGCACGATAAATAATTTTTGTTTATTATCAGTGAGCACCATGACTTCTTCAATGCTAATACTGAAAACCTTGAAAACTACTGTGATCTCGCAACTGGTATACTACTAAGTTACAATGTAATCTTATAACGAATTTCAATCTCCAGTCTTTCCACAAGTAAAATAGGTCCAACACTACATACCTTTGCATACGGATCGACCACTGAATAGTGATCGGTTGTCATACTTGTCTAATTATAGTTGCTGGTTGAATCTTATCTACCAAGTAGTAATGTGGCCACCAGTCTAAATGGTTTGATATTGTATGCACTATGCTTTGATACAAAGTGATTATAAAGGCAATTAGCAAGAAAACCTAGATTTAGACTTTGTTCTAGTTGGGACTCATCAGTACATTCCACCTGTTGTCTTTGGATCGCACTCCGAATAGGTCAGTAGTGACGTCTCAGACTGTGGAGCTGAGTGATGCACTAGTACCTTCAAAACTTCGAGTACACTTTATGACAAGTGCCAACTGGAACACAACCTAGGTCAAAGGCATGTTGACAATCATCCCCAACCATTGTAAATATACCCTCTTTATCTGTACATTAGAATTATATATATAGTCAACTCCTCCAGTGTATCTGTGTATATTTACAATAGTTATAACAACTGAAAAACTCATACTCTTCTCTTTGTCAAAACTACTATGATGACAGAACAGTCCTAAATAAGGTTCTTTTCCAAAAAAAATCTTACAGTAAAATGATATTAAAAAGTGAGTACCCCTACCTCCGAAAGGCAAAAAAGAACATATCTATCGTTCGCTCTTACTTGTATGAGTGTATTAAAATCAGATTGTACTAAAAAGGTAGCTCGTCCACGTGTAAGTAAATGAACAAATTTTGAAGCTTCATCTGGACAAGTATTCAGTGTACTGAAATAAAAAACAAAAATCGCACGGCATGATAAACCAAATTAGTAAAGGTCAATCGATAAATGGTGTACTGTTAGTAAGTTTTATAAATATATGTACGAGTTTTTTTCAAGTTTGACAAAAAATAGCAACCATGAGGGGGTGATTAAATTCTACACAATGTCATGTGTGATATCAATCTTTTCACACACATGAAATATATAGATGGTTCATTTCACTTATCATTAATAACGATGATTTACAGCACAGGTGATGTGTTCATTGAGCTAAATGCATTGGTCTAAGGGCTTTCACTATCTTACTGGACAGTTTCATCAGCCACAGAAAGATAATGAAAAATGAACATTTAAATTATCTCAAAGAATACAACACCACCAAAAGCTACTACAAAATCTGTAAACTGTGTAATTTATTGTACATAATTAAACAAAGAAGACGTGGAAATAATGTCATTAGATTAACAAAATATTCATTTGAATAAATGACAACAGAGAATGGTGAAACTCGTTTAGCAAGCTTTTGTTCCTTTTGAAGACAAAATAATATAAAACAACAAAGTAGGTAGAAAAGAGTACTATAATATCATCTTTATTTCAATGTTTTAATCATACTCAAATATAACCCCTTCCAAACATCTTATAGATTGAGACCCATTTTATTTCCAATAAACAAGTGACCTGGATTTTCCAAAGCTTAGAGCACTTATTATTTCAGATGACTGTCTATTATGAATGTAACTCATTTGTAATTTACCCGTACGTTAATATACTCGGCTTCGAGTTACACTTTTAACTGTTTGAGTTAATAATTCTACATAGTCTATCGATCTAACAGTTAAAGGCTAAGTGTTATAAAACCACTAACTCACCAATTGAAGACAGAAAGTTATACGTTTTTCTAATCCGAAACTAGTCTAGATCACATCCAATAGCACAAAGGTGTAATATTATTTAGGTCGAAAACTTGATCCCTATTCATATATCAAATTTTATTAAACCCGTTACTTACTTATTTACTTACGCCTGTTACTCCTCGTGAAGGAGCATAGGCCGTTCACCAGTATTCTCCATTCAACCCTGTCGTGAGCAATCCTTTCCAGCTACTTCCAGTCGTTATTCATCATTTTTATATCTGCTTCTATTTTCAGACGTAATGTGTTCTTTGGCCTTCCTATTTTCCGCTTCCCTTCAAGATTCCAAGCTAGGGCTTGCCTCGTGATGTAGTTTGACGGTTTGCGTAATGTATGTCCTATCCATTTCCATCGTTTTTTCCTAATTTCTTCTTCAGCTGGAAGCTGGTTTGTTCTCTCCCACAGAAGGCTGTTGCTGATGGTATCTGGTCGATGGATGCTGAGTATCTTGCGTAGACAACCATTTATAAATACTTGTACCTTCTTGATGGTGGTTGTTGTAGTTCTCCAAGTTACAGCTCCATACAATAGAACTGTCTTGACGTTTGTATTAAAGATTCTGACTTTGGTACTGGTTGACAGTTGTTTTGAGTTTCATATGTTCTTCAGTTGAAGGAATGCGGCGCTTGATTTGCCAATCCTCGCCTTCTCGTCTGCATCTGAACCTCCTTGTTCATCGATGATGCTTCCCAGGTATGTGAAGGATTCTACATCTTTCAGAGTTTCGCCATCAAGAGTGATTGGATTGCTGTTCTCCGTTTTGAATTTGAGGACCTTGGTTTTCCCCTTGTATATTTTGAGGCCTACTGATGCAGAGACTGCTGCTTAAACCCGTGATATAATTATATTATTTAACAAACATGATTGACAATTATTGATTTCTCATTAACTAAATGATCAATCTCTGATACAACTTGATAATAAGAGGGACTAACTTGAAAATTGAATATAGATTGATTCTAATGTTTTTACATAATTCCAGCTAATCGTAAAGTCAAATATTGAGTTTCTGGCTCATAAGTTACATCATAAACGATTAACTAGGCTAGCAACGACTACATATAAACACATTTTCAATATAAGGTGAAACAGCAAAATACTAAAACGCTAGCCACGGTTTAAGGAAATTCATTGTGAAAAATTCAATTTGAAATTATAATACACATGTAACAAAATAGGAATTATTTAAACAAAAATTTTCGATGGTGACGGTAAGAACAGCCTCATCCTCAACGTTCGCATACGGCACAAAGTCGATTAGTTTCCCCCTAAAACCAGACTGATGGTCTCATTATATTGAAATAAAGAGCCAACTGAACAACACTACTACCCAAATTAACTATGTTCTTTTAAAATAAGTTGATAAAAAATTTCAATCGCGACTATCCACTATTCTTAATCAGATCACCATTAAAAACCAGAAACCATTGAACAGTTATTTCGTCCCAAAGGAGGACCCTTCAGCTGTACACACTCATGACCCATCGGGAATTAAACCCAGAAACTTCGGTAGTCTAGCTAAGATTATTTCGTGATATAAACTATGAAAACCCTACAACCTCTACAATCCTTTACCCTATACTAGTATTTAACTACGTCAACACGTATTGAATAGTATAAATGACACTGTAAATAAACTATCTCAAACACGTGCACATGACGTAGGTTACAGTAATAATAACATAAAAACATTTGTAAAATCAAGATAAATTGCTGTAAACAAACCAAGAAATTTAATGTAAATGAGTGTGTTCAATTGCGTATGTTGTTTGTGAATGTGTTTATTGTCAACAGAATATTGATTTCAAGAATGCAATGTTTTTTTTAATATGTAACAAGTAATAACTTCTTATCTCTCAAAAAACAAAAAAATGTGTGAATAAGATTAAGAGAAATGTCGTTTTTCGTCCTCCAAATAAAAAATCCTTTAACTTACTGAGACCATGATTTCAATAAGTTTGACAAGGTGACTGGTTGTCGATCTGGTGTACCACCAGCATTCATATAAATTGCATGTTTCCAATAAAGTGGACAATTAAGTACCTAGAAATATCAGGAACAAAATATGGATGTTTATGATGATAGATGAGACCAAATAAGAATTATAGAATTCAAATATATAAACAGATATAGAAGCGCTTGATTACTGATTAACACTTGACATTATACTTGATTCCCTTGTAAAAGAAAAACATACATTGTACAAGAGCGGTTAATTTTCTTGCTGACAAAGTATAATAACAATGTAACTAGTTTACTAAGTACATGTTTATGCCTACCCATTGATCATGATTATTATTATTAATGGCTTTATTCAATATTATATTTCGGTACAATATTGAATTCTCAGCACAGGGTATTTCAACAAGTTTCTTTTACAAAAGAACAGATAAAAAAGAAAGGGAAAAAATATTTAAAAATATCTGAAAAGCTGTACAACTTTCCAAATTAGAGACATGTTAAGAATGCAGGCCATTGATTACGTTAACTCTAGCAACCTGTTCGTCACAGAGTATATTCGCTAGGTAAGGTATTACAGAACTTTTATACTTCTGCTTGCGTGCATGGATTTTAATGTAATTACGTCTCGTTCTACCAGAAGATATACAAGGAGAAAGATAAGAATGAAGGAGATGGTATGTACCTGATAAAATGACACATGCCAGGAGTTGGCATGACTTTAGATGTCTATCCAAATCACCTAGTCTACATTTATTGACACGCTCCGACGCAACAATTGATTATTTCATGAAGTGATGCAATGTCTCATTTGCCCCCTCCCAACAGATTCTAATGCAGAACGTTTTCCTATGTTTGGGTAGATGGTGTATCAGTCAATCAGACAGCCACAACATAGGACCAGGTACATATATGCATCGGTCCAAGTTGCCATACCTCATTAACACAACAAGATGGACACTGGATTCATAAAAGTAGTTAATTCAGAGGTGGTAATATATAAAAGAAAGATCGCAATAAGGATATAGTACAGGAAGAAAGAATTAGTTCGTAGAAAGAAAGATATGAAGTGATTTTAATCTCTTAGTTTAACGGAAGACAGAGAGTGTATACACCGACGCCATTGTGATCGATTTTGAGCCATGTCACCAAGAGTCTCCAACCATTGGTTACGATAGTCACGCGGACCCCAACCGAGTAGTCTGCATCTACCATCATGGCTCAGACTACAAGTTAGTGACCTCAAGCACTGATGCCACGTTTTGGTTTGGCCGCCCCTAACTTTCTTCCAACCATCTCCAACACCGGCACACGTAACACGTGGCCCAACCACCTCAGTCGATGAAGATTCACAACCTCATCAACTGATTTACCATCATTCTTTAATACCGTGCGTCTAACCTCACTATTACTTACCCGGTGATCCCAGCAGATATGAGCAATATTTCTAAGGCATCTGTGGTCAAATACTAGTAGCTTACGAGTATCTTCTACTCTTAATGACCATGTTTCGCTGCCGTAAATTAAAACAGAACGAACTGCTGCGCAGTATACTCGTCCCTTAATTGATAGACGGATATCTCGCCTTCGTCATCGATGACGTAAGTTGACAGAAGCCAAATGAGCTTTTCGAATCCGTGCTGAGATTTCGTCAGACACCAACCCATTAGGGCTGATCAGACTTCCAAGATAAGTGAAGTTGTCAACGCGTTCGACTACTTTACTCCTTATCCTTAGTTCAGGTGTTGACGCAGACCAATCCTGAAGCGGCAGCTTGCATTTAGAGGGAGAGAAGCGCATTCCACACACATATACACAAAACATATCCCACCAACCACGAGCGATAAAGATTCAGTTTCATCAACCGATTGATTGTATTTTCCTAGTGTTCTACTTTTAGCCTCAACGTTTCTTAAAATGGTTTTATCATAAGCTCTCAAATACCCTGATACGGACGAGAGTGGAGGGAGTCAACCCTCTCTCTGTCGAAATGTTCTCATATGACCACGTGCATACAACCACTGTCAGGGAAGTCCTACTCACTGCCTTCTCGTGGCGGTGTTGTTTACGAAATCGAGAGGACGAAAGGCGAATGTCCGGCGCTTCAACCGGGTTGGCAGGTACGGAGAGTCCACCTAGGGGAGTTGGAAAAACCTGATTTCAAACCAATGGTGCACATTAGCTCAAGAATCCTGAGGGAACAATTGGCGTATTAACCGTTCGTTGGTCACCGGCTATCATGAGACTGCATCTCCTTACATTGCTCGACTGTCTTTTGGATTAGACCTCTAAATCAAAGGCTAGGGGTGTGGCCCCTGAAGAAAACCACCTGCTTCGGTTTGGTTCCCCGGGGAGTATTACAGCCCACAAACAAATCAAGAGACTTGTGTAGCACATATCTATTCGGTGCCCCTTCGTACCAATATTTATGTGTTTAAATAATAACAATAACAATAATAATAATAATAATAATAATAATAATAATAATAATTTGAAGACAGCTATGACCAAAAACGTGAAATCTGTCAATCTCATCAGTTTTTATTAATTATATTTCAAAGAGAGGAGTGCTATGCAATATATCCACCTTTCGATATTCAGATGGATATCATACCTGCTCTCTAGATCTATGTCGGAATTTCATAGGCAAACAACTAAATAAAGACGATGCGATTTTTAATATACGCAAAGTGGTCAACATAATCTGTCAGTAAACTCTCTACAGTCAAACTAGGCGATGATAAACTATAACAACACCAGAGAAAGAATACCATCAGTCAGTCATGGCAGTAATAATTTGAAATAAGACGTTAATTATTGTGTTTTCAGTTGTTTTATTCACTATCAAATAATAGGCTTTATAGTTACGTGGTAAAATAGAATATAATACCACAATGGTTCTACACTTGCCCAGTGAGTGACGATTAAGTTAACTGTCAATATTACAATTATTAGACAATAAAGCAATGAATGTTTTCAATCAGTATTCGAAGTCAAATGAATAACATTAAATAAATAAAATAATGCTATTCAAGTCTATTTCTCTTCTCCATATAAAAAAGCATGAACTGAGGAATATGGAGAAGGTTTACTAAACTGAACCAGAAGCAGGGAGATGAGAGGTGATTACATTTTCCATTTTAAAAAAAATGAACTATGACGGTTTGTGAAAATTACTGAATTTTAATAGTTTACATTACGGACTGATTTTAATACAACAACCTTTATAAACTAGGGAACACTGGAGAGCAGTTTTGTCCTATCATAAGACTACATATTAATGCGCATCCACGGCCTGTCAAAATAGGGGATTAAACCCCAAACCAATCACGGAGAGTATGCATGCATACAAATAATGAGTCTTATACTAGGACAAAGCAACTGTGCAGTGCTTCCTGCTTTACAATCCTTGACTAATTAAGATCACTCCGTGGTGGAAAACCGTGAAATTCTTTAGTCGATAACAAAAAGCTTTTGAACAGGAAGCTAATAAACAAATTAATTAATTTTAAAAGTGATATTAGCTAATCAGGATTCTACAGAAAACTCAATGTGTAAGATTAGTGATAAAAAAGAAAAGAGAAAAATACATTTATACATGAAATCGAAACTTTGTTTTTAAAAAACCATTCGTACCTTTGCAACTTGTCCAAAACATGAATGAGAAATTAACGGATCAGAATATTTCCCGGAATTTACTGATGAATCAATAAATTGGTTAAGTTCTTGTTTAACACGTTCTAATTCTGTGCTAATTTCCTCACTAGACATTCGAGTAGTCCCAAGTGGGAAATGAAATGCTGGCAATGCTTTATGTATTCGAGTTGGAGAAGAAAGAATAGCAAATCCTTTGTTTTGCACACATGAAGTAGAATCCATAGACGATGGATAAGTATAATCTGTATGATTAGGTACATTTGCCTTACTTATTAAAGATGTGACATCTTCATGAACACCGTCAGAATTAAAAAGACTTTTCGATTGTGAGGAATGAATACGATAGTGTTTATTAACGTCATGATAATTATCATGAGATTGTTGATGTGCGACTACATCAACATCTGGCTTATTACTTTCAGCAGGACAATTATATGCTGATGGTGTTGAAGCAACAGTAGGAGTGTGTTGTTTTGATCCAATTCCATCATTTGTTCGTAGAGGAGTTGCTTTATTTGTTCTAATTTTGCTTATATCATCAGTGTCTGCATCATGATTTAAAAGTTTATTAGTAGCAGTGGTATTATTAGTCTGGGATGAATGTTTTGTTTCATTATCTACACTTAGTTGATTTTCAGAGTTTGGTGTAACTTTTGGACAAATAGTTATTACTCCATTCTCTTGTTTGGATTTGTTTTCATGCGTTACATCATTTGCGGTATGTGGTTGTTCAACAGAGCTCTAGAAAATAAAACAGTAGAATAAAATTAACTAGTGTCTGAAAAGAACTGGCATGTTATGACAATTTCTCACAGATAAGATGATTTTCAACACTTTCTACAATGCAAACTTAGGAAGTGAAACACTGAATCAAAGCATACACAGGTCCGCGTATTCAATAGTTTAAAAGGGAGCAACATTCCATCGAAATTACTACAATCTTAGCAAAACAATCTATGAAGTTCTCAATCAATAATGTTAAAGCCGAAAAACAATCAGACTAATATGACATTTTATTCTCTAATTAATTTATTAAAGCTACAGTTTTTCTAGACATACTAGTCATAAGCGTTTATGTCAGAAAATAGTAAAATCACTCTCTTTTTAAGAATAAAAGTATGAGAACATGTAATTTATTAACATCGCTTAAAACGAATAATGAATTTGAAAAAGGGGAAGTAAACGAAAGTCAAATACACTGATCGTTGAATTTTAAGTAAAAATAACATAATAACATGTTATTCAACAGTAGATGAGATGAAAATTGTGTTTTATGAAAAAGTGTTTAGTTTCGCAAAACAAAGCAAGTGTGTAATATTAAATGCACTAATTCCATAAACTGAATTAATAACGTAAAAACTGACATAAATGTATAACATTTTAAAATAACCTATGCTTACCGTCCCCACAAAGAAATAAAAAATTAAGAGGAAGAAAATTGGATTAAGCTACTATTACTACTATACTAAGAGGAAATAACTGTCCAGTAATTCTTGATTTTCAAAGATTATCTAACCGCAGTCAGTGATGTAAACTATGGAATTCAACAATCTTGACAAACCTAAATCAATAAAGTCATAGTGTTGACAGTATTAACCTGTCGAAAATAGTAAAAAAAGCATCAGAAGGAACAAACGCAATTCAAGATTTAGAGGAACAGAAAAGATGAACACACAACCATGGACTACTACCACAAACCTCGATTGGTTTACATGAATTCGATTAAACAGCCAAGATGTTTGGTGGGTCCAGAAAGATACTGTTCACCTCCCTAGATGAATCAGTGTCTAAGACACTAAAATTTTAGCAACTAAGTAGCAGATTCGAAATATACACCTACCATCAAGGACTGAATTCCGCAACTCAAGGGTGAAAATCGGTGGAATCCTGATCCTTATGTTAAAGTTCTAGTATCGCTTCTGCTCTATATAAGGCGTGCATTTGTAAAATTGAGGCAAGTCATAGTTGTCCCTATTCGAGACTTCAGTAACCACTATGTAACCAAAACGGGTAACGCTTGTAGTTTCGGTCATTATGTTAAGCCCATATACCTTATTCTAGCTTCTGGACAGACCAATCTATTCTTTCTACTTGAGTCGCATTTTGACCTTGTTAATTATTCGCTTATCAATTTTAACTATTGTTATACGAGCATGTATGTGTATACTTCTTATCCCATCCATCACATGTCTGTAGCTTAATTTTGTGTGACTATAAATATTGATTAACGCTTGACTAAATGGATTTGGCTCACGAGCCTTTTCCACTGCGCGTTATTTTGCCTTGCTCTCTTCTCCTCGCTTCTCCGATATTTTGTCTGGATCAAAGATTGTATGAAATATACGAGGATAGGAGACAAGTATTTCGACAGCATTCATTCAATAACGAACATTCATACGGTCTAATTAGTCACATCTCGGGCCACTAAGCGCTCATAAATCATTAGATGCGGTAGAGGCCTCGCATCATTTCACTGCTGATTGAAGAACTATGCATTTGTTAAGTCACGAAAATATGCCCTATCAACGAGTACTAACACGCAAAAGGCAAAGGTTCATATAGAATTTCTGTCGGTTAAGGAATAACAGTATCATCAACTTCTATCGCTTATATGGTAAACATAAAATTAAGTGAAGACAAAACGCAAAAAAAAAAACTTTTGTAAATTAGTGAAATTACATATAGTAGATTAAAGAAAATATTTAAAACATGAAGTGAGGTAGTAGTAATCAGTCATCTACTCTATCTTACTACTACACAGAAAACCAATCGATAAATGTAAGGTTAATGAATAGAAAGGAATTTACTGACAATATCCAGCTGCGTTTTATGTGTATTTTTTCTGTGCATTCGTGTATATATGTGTGGTGACAATGATATTATATTTCTGAAATGAATGCGTGCTACAACTATGACATAGCAACTTCAAATTGATTAGAAGATTATTATTACTATTATCATTATTATTATTATTAATTAGTTCACATAAAATAACTTTAACAATGGAAGAGTAGTGAAATAATAAGACACAGGGCACCTACGAATATAATTTAGCTTAGAGAGAGACCAGGTTTCATAAAAGCAGAAAAAACCGCTTGCGTTGTAAAGCCGTACGTTCGACTTCCTATGACCAGACTAGAGTCGCAACGATTCCTAAAAGTGATGAAAAATTCCCATTATATTAAAAACACAATTGTATGAACGAAGAATATTCTTTTCAATAATTTCTCATCAGGTTCTACAATTATAAATCCAGATTAATAATCCATAAAATTGGCCAGATTTAAGGCAAAATACATCATCATTTGGAAATGGTAATATGTGAATCAGGAATTGTTTGTTATATAAAAATAAAATCGTTAATGTTGGGGCTGACTAATATGAAGTGTTAACTTGAAACGGTTTATAAGCAAAATGAAATTGTGAGATAAATTATCAGAATAAATATGGTCAACATGGGGTAAGAGAGAGAGAGAGAGAGAGAGAGAATATTGTGATTACAAATCGGAAATTGCGTAATATGTAAAATAATCAGGTCAAATATAGTAGGTTCAGGGGTGGATATTAAATAAATTCCTCAAAAAGGGTTTATCAAGTGTAAAGACAATAATAGTAATAATAATAATAATAATAATAATAATAATAATAATAATAATAATAAGTTTGGGACATAAAATGAACATTAATCAGATTATGTCACCACATTATAAGATTGATTATTAGCTAGTTGGCCAGGGTAAAAGCTTTTTAAAACCTTGTATTTACAGTCACTAAAACAAAACTGCTATATTACGGATAAATATCTTAGTTGATAATAACACGACCACAACACTAGTTCAAGCTTACTCTCAAGTTGTACAAGCCATCTGATTACTTAAGCTGCTCTAATGGAGATAACAGTTCAAACTACGATATCAACATACATGAAGGTTTGAACTCTATTTTTCGAAATGACACATCACAGAAGAAATAAGATATTGGTATAAAAAATTTTTAAAAAAATACAAGAAATTCACCTACATATATCACCTATACAGTAGTAGCCAGACATTGAACACGTAAAATGTATAACTTGGTGAATTTTTTAGTATTTTGAAATATATAATGTGTAAACTAGAAAATAAACAGTTCTAAATGTCAAAAATAAAGTGCAATAAATAAAAACGTACAAAAATATCTGTGTAGAACACATAAACAACAATTCAACAACAAAAAAACTTGTTACATTTATTTTACGGAATCCAAAATCGAATTCTCTAAGCCAAGTATAAGCGTTTCTATTTAATCAAGATTTACTATCACCGTAAACAGTATAATTACTTTATATAAATAAAAAACGTTTCTTTCATTAAAGTTAAGTTTTCATTTTGTTGACGCTTTCCGTAGATTACTCTAGATATTGAACACTGAAAACAAGACAAAATGTTGGTCAGAAGATTTTAATTAACCCAGATGACCAGAAAATGTTACAATGGGTTTTTTAAATGATAACACTTGAGCTTCTGCCTAAATAATTCGGTTATGATTAATATTAGTGAAGATTAGTGACTAGTTTGACTCGTCAATTTTGTGCCTCCGAACGTTCATATGCAATATGAAGGTATATAGTTGTTTTGATGAACGGTATTCATCGATTTCATGTTTAAGCAATTCATATTTCCGATGACATAGTCACACAATCAGCAACTTTATTTTGAGGAAGAAAAATCAGTCAAAGGATTATAAGGCAAGGTAAAGACTAAAAATTTAATTTATCAGTTAATAAAAAGAAAAAAAGATGACACGACAGACAAGCTTGGAACTAAACACAAACTACATTTATTCGTTCTTTGAAAGTTTATACCGATAATAAATTATGGCGATTACCAACGCTTGAATCTATCCTATTCAGTTTGTACACTAAATATTTCATTAGTAAAATCTCCCCGATTATGCTATAATTCTGTGAAAGTAGAATCAAATCCTCGCTATATCAGAACATGGTAGGATACATGTGAGCCGCATACAAATTATTTTAAATGAGATAACGTGATTTTCCCGATCAAATTATTATACCTGAACCCAGTTTATTTATGTTTTTTATAACAAACTAACAGTGTTATTGGGTTTCATAACAAGCAAATTATACAGTTTGCTTAAGATACCATTGAAAAAAAATTTGTTTCCATTCATTCAAATCATCCTCATACTTCACAAATGACATGAATGGAATTCACGAAAAGAAGTACTGAAAACTAAACAATTATATTAACAGTAGCAGAGAAGTTAAAAGATAATAATGATCAGGAAAACAATTGTAGAAGCATAGGCTCAATAATATACCATTTAATTAGAGCAACTGAAACCAGTCTACAGTAAGAGTTTGAAGTTATTGAGTTTGGAATATTTAATCAAGAAAGTATTTCACAAAAATTGAATTAACAAACGACACCTTAAAAAACCTGACAATCACCGCTACTTTTTTTAAATTTTATTACACATTAGCCATCTTACAAGACAGACTGACAGAAATCAAGACAGAGCGTAGCACAGATATGATTTATGTCAAGTTACCACACTAGATAAGTACGACCAGATGCAAAACACAAAAGAGATCGTAGTAGCAGTGATGATGTGAAAGACTGAACATTAAGAATATGATGGGAATGAAGAGGTATGAGTATGAAGAAATACTAAAACTCAAGATTTAGAGAAAGATAAAAAAAGAATGCATCTGTGCGTTTGTGACCGATTCGGATCCA